AACCTTTCCTAACAATATTGAGACAAAGTTTTATCATCTTTGCCTCCAAGGAGCATTCTAGCTACACTTTCTCTAATACCTACCTATTCTTTCAGCAGTCCATGAGATGTTCAGTGCTGTTCTCTAGCACCACAACTCAAAGACATCCGTTATTCTCTGTCATCCTTACTGTCCAGTTCCCATAAGCACAGGAAGTGACTGAAGAGACCATGGCCTAAATCAGGTGCACCTTAAGTCTTCTAACTGACTCCTCAGTAATTTTGATTGGTCCCTGACTACAGATCTTCCCAATACAATACACTTCTCACTTCCTGGCTGGTGGTATCAAATGTGTTGATTGTGGATCCAAGTTCAATTCGTTGGCAGTTTTAATCTTTTCTCCATCTATCATGATGTTGCCTAGCAGTCTAGTTCTGAGAAGTTTTGTCTTTTGGATATTGAGGTATAACCAAGGCTGTATTCTTTGATCTTTTGCAGTAAGTACTTCAAGTCCTCCTCACTTTCTGCAAGCAAGATTGTGTCATCTGTGTAACACAGATTACTGACGAGTTTTCTTCCAATCCTGATGCCACATTCTTCTTCACAGAGTTCTTGAATGATCTGGTCAGCATACAGATTGTATAGGTATGGAGAGAAGATACAACTCTGACACACACCTTCCATTTTAAACCACACAGTGTTCCTTTGTTCTGCTTGTTCAATAGCCTCTCGCTGTAGGTACAAGTTTCACACGAGTACAAGACAGTGTTCTGGGATTCCCATTCTTCTCAATGATAGCCTTTATTTGTTACAACAAAGTCAAATATCTTTGTATAGTACAGACACTCTTCAGCTTTCAGCCACGATTCATCTGACATCAGCATACATAAAAACTATTTCAATGTTATTAACAATGATGCTCAAAGCAAAGTGACTCCTCATTTATCTAAAAAAAAATCCTGCAAATTCATTATTTTTAATATAAGTGGTCCACTGAAAAGGGAAAAAAGATAATGACCACCACTACTACCTCCCCTCAACAAGATGGACCAATACCACCTCCCCAAAGAAGATGGACACTACCTCCTTCCCCCAAAACAGATGGCCCCACTACCACCTCCCCTCAACCAGATGGACCAGCAAAGTGACTGTTACAATGGGATCAAGAATACCAGCATTCCTGAGGGGGCACAGGACACGGCAGGGGAGCAGTCGTACCTGCTGTTCACAGGCCCATTATGAGCGGTGGCCGACTCAGTGACACCCTACAAGAATGTTAACCCACCACGCTGTAACCCACAGGCCTCCCCTCTCTGGCAGAGTGCATCGACCAGTGGTTCTTCAGGAGAAGGACAATCTCCTAGGGTGGAATTTACAGCCTCGGGAAGCCCCTGCACGGTCAGCTATGAGATGGTTCTAACTTAATGAGAACGAGCGAGTGAATGAGTAAATAAGTCTGCAAGCATTTACTCAGACAGCGATTCTGCAACTCCTCCTGAAATGAGGGGTCTGAAGCACCGGTGATGGCTTAAGTCAGCAAGGAGAGCGGTCTTCAAACATCATTGGGAGCAAGGATACAACCCTATAGGGTATGCTCTTTCCAAAGACAAGACGCACGGAGGGTGGGCCTGACTCCATCTCTCCCACCACCACTCATATAAAATCCAGGTAAGCGTCACTCAAGAATGCAGCTAGTAAAACCCACAGGAAATTCTTCAGGGCACAGCCTAGCTTCTTCACAAATAAATGGCAAGATGAATAATGGGATGAGGAGGAAGGTGACAGAGCGATGTCAACCAATTACAAGTACAGGGCCTCATGCCGATGCCCCTTCAAACACTTTTTAAAGCTTATCTATGAGATCAAGGGGCTCACTCTTTTCTTTGACACAGTTCTCTTTGAGTAGCTAAAAACTAAATATAGTATCACTCGAAGTTTATCTTACTTAATGAAATATTTACAGATGAAACTACACATCTAGGATTAGATGAGGGTGGGCAAGGATGCAGCATGAAAGGAGCCCCAGGACAGAGAGAGGGAGAGACGAGTGCTCCCTGGGTCACTCATCTTTCCGTATTTTCTAAGAGGGATTTTAGCGGGTTTTAAGTGACTATAACTATGCCCGATGATGTCAGAAAGGTAAGTATACAACAAGATCAGAGTGACAGGCTGTGGAAATGGGGTCTGTCTGTTCTCGGGAGGGGCACAACTGTACAACTCGGCTCCCCAGCCCTCATCCTGCCCCGACAGGGCAGCTCTCGAAGGACAAAGTCTGCAGACTGGTGAGAAAACTGTTCTAGCAGCACCCTCACAAACACCACTCAGGTAAGCACCTGCGGACAGGCTTTGTCCTGCAACTGTTAGAATGACTGCCACTCTATCTGCTTCCATGGGTGCAGACTGTGGATCCAAGTAAAATGAAACCGCTGGCAACCTCAATCTTTTCTCCATTAAAACCTCTTGTTTTTAAGTATCATCCAGTCAAGTAAAACTCACAGAGACCCTAGAACAACAGATCTGAACCCTGTTCCAGCAGTCACCATGTCAATCCATCTCATTCAGAGTCTTCCTCTGTTTCGCTGACCCCTCCACCTTTCCAAGCATGATGTCCTTCTCCAAGAACAGTCTCTCTAACAAAAGGCTCAAAGTATGTGAGATGAAGCTTCATCATCCTTGCCTCCAAGAGGCACTGTAGGTGCATTTTTTCTAAAACACAACGGTTTGTTCTTCTGGTAGTCGACGAGATAGTCAGTACTCTTCTACAACAACACAGCTCAAAAGTGTAAATTCTTCTGTCACCTTTACGTATTTTTATCCATTAAAACTTAGAGGCCTTTTATAAGAATATTTAAGAAGTTCTACTAGTGTGAAGAAGCTACAATGAAATTCCAAAAGTACAGAGTTCAAGTCCACCAGCCACTCTGCAGGAGGAGGATGGCCAGTCTCCTCCCGTGTGATTAACTTTCTCTGAAAACCTGCTGGAGGGTCAGTTCTAACTGGACAACACACGGCAGCTGCTTTGACAGCTGTTCTAGTGCTGAGGAGGGACTTATGACTGGGTGTACGCCACAGGAGAGATCACAGGTGTGGGCAAGACAGACCACCACTTTTTGGAACGGGATCTTTGGCAGATTATTCAACTTTCCGGAATCTCAGTTCCCTCACTAATACAGAGGGGATAGTAAGACACCAATAAACCAAAATAAATGCATGTAAAATACCTAGAACAATGCTTGCTACTAAGAAACTCTAAGCCAGAAGCACTACCCATGAAAACGGACTTCCCCTTTCGCTATCTGACACACGGGCCTCTCACTACACTGCAGAGGCCGGCGGCCTGCCACGGGGCACCAGGCCCTGCTGCTGGCTCGGAGTCCATCCCTTGGCAAGCCTTCACCCCAGCCTCCTGCCACATCTCCACGCAGACTCATCAACTTCTAGACAAACCCAATGTGGATGACTCATCAATAATGCTGAAGGGATTCTGACCCAGGAAAGCAGAAATTCAAGTGGCACGTTCATGTGCTTAAAACCGCAACTCACACACGCAGTGCAAGCTAAGGTCCCAGAAAGTGTCGGAGAATGCATGGTTTATAATGGGGAGCGGAGGGGACCACAGATGCCCTTCACTCGCTCATTAACGAAATGCTCTTAATGTTCATTCCTTTCAGCTACTTTTCTGTAATGTCAACTCTGAAAACTAGTTACGGCTGGTCCTCAGAGCAACAAAGTCTGACCAGGAAAGAAAGAATGCTCCTGCCAGAATATGTGTGAAAAGTTAGTCAATCAAGTTTTGTTATACAGCTTTCTTAGCATTTATATCAACTGAAAATTAACAGAGGCTGACAGCCAAATGGCATTTTCTCTGAACTCCTGAAATGCCCCTCAGCCGGCCTGGTTCCCTCTGTCTAGGCATCTTCCTTCCACTCTAACTTCACTCCCACTGTCTGCTGTTAGGTGCTGCCCGGTCCTCGTGACTGCACCTCACAGGGATCCTGTGAGCAACAGGTGGGAGTCTAGCCTGCTCCTGCCCCACCCCATGCTCGGATCCGATCGTGACAGTACCAGGTCAGGGCGCCAAGGGGAGACAGACCAGAGTGAGATGCTCTATCAACCGTCTGTGACAGATGTCAGCCACTAGACAAGCGGACGGCCAGGAGACAGGCCATACAGCCAGCCAGGACTCCAGCGCTAGCGCCTAAATGCACATGAACTCCTTGGCTACCCAGCCTCTTGTCAAAGGGTAGGAAAGGCCACTGGTGCCCAGTCAGCTTGTTCAGCGGGACTGCCTGCAAAGTGGGCTTGGGGCTTAGACCACAAGTCCCACGGAATGACAGCGCAGTGTATTTTAAAATAAAAATCCCTTTCCTGACAATTTCAATCTTTGGAAAGCAGAAAGGAAGCATCAGCTTAAAAAAAAAAACTACCACCAAAAAAAAAACCCCCCCAAAAAAATGTAATACAAAATCCAGACGTATTCCCACAGCATCATTAAAAAGGGAAACTATGCGAATGAAGCCTTCCAAACAACACTTCCAGTACTAGTGAGACAAGGAGATGCAGACACACGCTCACCAGAAACAAGCAGACAGACTGCAAAGCAGCTCCTAAACGGGTAAGCGCACACTGTTGGGGAGTACTCTCCCACAAAGGGCGACTCACACACCCCCTCGCCTGGAAAAGCCCCCATCCCGCCTCTCACCCTAACAGTCAAAGTGATTCATCTGATGGTCACAGTTAAGCTTCATCCAAAGTAACGTTCTGGATTTTTACAAACTGCCAGGTGCATGTTTTCATACATAGGAGGTTATGCTCTTGACGGATTTTCCAAATGTTGGCTTCTCCAATCACAATGCCAAAGAAAGCCAGTATGAGATGCAGACACATAGTCTGTTAGTGGGAAGTAACGAGGGAGGATACAAACACACTGTTTCAACTGCACGAGGTCATTCCTGACACTCACAGCGTTAGATCTTTAACAGGACTATGTGTACACACAAAACACCCTGCCCCACACTCACCTTCTTCTTATCCCGCATGGAGCCTTTGCCTCGAACCATGATCTTACACCCCGTTTCCGCTTCCAGCTGTTTGGCTGTAAGTCCTCGAGGTCCAAGGATTCTCCCAACAAAATTAAACTGAGGAAGAAAAGAAAGTTAGTCATTTTACATTATTCACCTACTTGAAACTTACAATCATTCTGAAACATTTTACTTTCTAAACTTAACTCTCTTTTAACATTAAATTCAGATAAACCTGGAGACCTTCAAAATGTATGTCGAGCTTAGGAGCCAGCAGCTCAGTGCTGGCACGAGATCCCCCCACCCCCACCCCCGGTGTTAATATAAATTACAAGTTAGGAACCGCAGGTACAGCATAGAGCTAAAGAGTCGGAGACAATCCTAGATGACACCAAAGAATACAAATAACTCTTTTCTGACAAATTTCCATTTCTCCCCTTAAAAGAACAGTGGTGTTTCATTACATTTCACAGAGACTCCCCTTTCTATAAAGATCCTTCAGAGAAACTCTTTGTCTAACTTAACAAGAAATGGTATAGTTTGTCCAAAGAAGGTGATCAGAGAAAATCGTGTTCCTAATAGTTTGGTCAAATTTAGGCTCAACAAACCTGTAAACGCCTATAATGTCTGCTGACAGGAACACTTTCCCACTATATTGTCACACTTTTTTGCCCATGCCCTTCTTTTTATTCATTTATCCCCCCGTTAACTTTGGGGGCCCTGGTGGCACAGCTGGAAGGGAACTTCACCGCTAATCCAAAACCCCATCTCCTTGGAGGTTTGAATCCAACAGCAGCTCCTCAGGGTTAGAAGATGGACAATTTTCTGTGTAGTTCACAGTCTCAGAAACCCAGTCAAGAGTGAGCTCTGAGTTGCTTCTGACTCCACGGCAATGAGTTTAAGGGTTGGGTTTGATTCTCCCTCGCCTGTACCTTATACTGAAATATTTCTGCAAAGAGCCTTAAATCTTTTCATAGAGTGTAGTAAGACCAAGGTTGTAACTGCCGAGGTAACCACCATCCTCCCTGCATCAACATACGCCTCTTACTGATTTAATCCTACTTTGCACCCAGTCCTGAACCCCACAGGACTTCCTGCAGTGTGGGCGCTCCGTCCTCACTCACCACACACCCCACCTCAGACAAGCATTCCTCAAGTTGAGACCAACAGTCTTTGTCCCCGAGGCACCTGACCTGGTCCACCACCAGAGCCCACAGTCTCGAGGATCTGATGCCCAATCCTTGTCCAGTTCTCTGCAGTCAGTACTTTACTCAGCTCTTATTCAACCTTAAATTCCACTGTCTTTCTCAGCAACTCACTCAGCTTCTGAAATTCCTAGACCGTGCAGCCAACTTGACCTTACCACATTCCCAAGCTGAAGGAAGACTGGAACTCCACCGTGAAGAGGAGGTGCAAGCTTCAACACCAAACAGGCAGCAACTCCATGTCACATCGCATACACCTGGAGCAAGGCCATACCGTGCCCTGGTGGAGCCACAGGGCTAGTGAGTGCGCAGACACAGCACTGTCCACACACAGGTCCACAGGAGGCATCCCCACATCACCCCAGGAACTGTCCGACCCTCACCCCACATACACGTGCCAGCTCAGTGGCCCCTGCGTACCAAGAACCAGCCTCCAGCTTTCAGATTAGTGTTCTTCTCTGAACACCTGCAACGCCCCAGCAGAAGGCTCTGCCCGTTCCAGCACCAGGGCTGACTTCCCACGGTCACCTCAAATGGACACCAGCCAGTGGACAGGCCAAGGTCATAAAGAGAAGCCCCTAATTCAAAATGCCAGTGCTTCAGACTTGAGCTTGAATACACAAGTATTACCAAACTCCAGGGGAAAGGCTCTAACATGAGAGGAAGTGAGGACAAAGAAGACTGATGACACTTCCCCCAAAAGAGCACCTCAGAGCTGGTGAGTGGCGGCTGCACACGCGGTCATTCCCATGGAGGGGAGCTGACTTCTGCATCGGCCCCACCACAGCAGATCCAACACCAAAGAAACAAATGCTGCCTGGATCTCTTCACCACTGTTACTCCCAGGGTTCCGCGGCCTGGCTTTCAGCAGAAGACAAGGCCAAGTCTACCTATGTAGTCCACCTGAGGCCGGAAGCTCACTGAAACCTGTTGGTCATCATCACAAAAGTGTCCACAGACAGGTGCCTGGCTTCACCATTAACTGGAGCTCAGCGATGTCTTCCGCACGGAAGGAGGGGATGCCCCACTGAGCCACACTCCACGCCATTCTGCAGCCGACAGAAGAGCGATGTGGATTCAGGTCATCTGTCCACCTGGCAGTGACAATACTACGCTGCTGTCTATCTTAGTCCTGCTGGTGCAAATGTGAGAGGATTTGATTTAGGCCGGTTAGCATTCGCTGATTACAAACCAAGTCAAGCACTTTTCAATGTGTTTACTGGACGGATGGAGGGAACATTTTTGAAGCACACCTGAAGTTTCTTGACTTTCTACTAAGCTGTTTATTTTTTGCTTTATTGATTTCTACATGGTGAGTACATGTGTGACAAACGTTTGCGCCCATCCTGTGGTCACCTTCTCACCTTTCACTGGCGTTCTCCAGCAACGGGATGCCTGTGATTTTAATGTTCTCAAGTGCTGTTTCTTTCTAAAAGAAAGCTGTGCCCACCCCAAGGTCACCGAAACCTCATGCCACAGGACCTTTCAGCGGTTGCCTTGCCCGCCCCCCCCCCCCCCCCCCCCCCCGTGTCTGTGTACCTGAAATGGGTGTCTGTGCATGACTTTCTTGTTCTCTCACCTGGGCCTCCAATTATCCCAGCACATTTTACTGGAAAGACTACATCCTCTTCCAACTGCATACCCTGCAGGCCACTTCCTAGTGTCCTAAAGCAAGCATCCAGACATACATGCAACTATTTCTGGGCTCTCTAGCTTATTCCATTAACTTATGTTTGTGTCAACATTACATTATATTAATTACTGGAACATTATGAGAAATGCATGATCTCTAGTACAGCAAGTTCTTACACTCTGTTCTTCATCCAGAACACTGCACTGGTAATGCATGCCTTCTGCCCTGCCACACAGATTTTGGAATCACTTGGTATTTTCTGATCATGTTTTCCGCCATGTGAATTGAGAATACATTAAAACACTGAAATTTCAAAGCCATGAGCACAATTTTGGTGGTCTTGGATTTCTCTCAAGAATGTAAAGATTTTCTCAGTACATCTTTATCCATCTTGTGTCATGTCTACTCCTAGACACATGGGGAGTGTTTCTGTTACTGAAGTATTGTTTAGTTTTGTTTTCTGTTTCTGATGTATGAGCACAAAAGGTTTTTCTTTGCTAACCGGGTATTAAAAAATCTTGTATCTGCAAACTAATTCTAACTTTTTAAAAAATTATTAATTTTTTTATTACTAATTTTAATGAAAACTTAGAGTCTCTGGGTTTCCATTCATTCACTATTGCACTTTTCTCCCTGCCCACCCCTCCCCGCAAGTTCATTCTTCTCTCTGAAAAGTAAACGAAAAATTCTTTAATTGTTATACAATCCCTCCCCCCAGGTCCACTCCACTGTGCAGCCTTCATTGTGGACTTGTATCATGACAAAAATACCTAATCATATATCCCTTTTAAACAGTTCTCTCCCTCACTGGTTTCAACACAGTATATATAATTCATCCCCCTTTTTTCACCCCAACCCCAATGTCAGTCCCGTTTTACAACACTGACACTATTTTGTGTCAGAGATATTTCACTTGGCCTAATGTCCTCCAGGGTCACCATTTTGAATAGTATTTCATGAGTTCCTTGTTTTTCAATGCAGCGCAGTATTCCATTGTGTGAATATAGCACAGCTTCTCCATCTATTCATTTGTTGATGGACACTTAGGTTGTTTCCAACTCTTTGCTATTGTGAACAAAGCTGCAATAAACATGGGGGTATATATATCTGCTTGGGTGGCGGTTATGGTCTCTTTAGGGTATATTCCCAGTAGTGGAATTGCTGGGTCAAATGGTATTTCTGTTTCCAACATTTTGAGAAAGCACCATACATACCGCCTTCCACAGCGGTTGCACCATTTTACACTCCCACCAACAATGAATAAGGTTTCCAGTTGCTCTGTAACCTCACCAGCGTTTGCTGTTTGCTGCTCTGTTAAATTTTGCTATTTTACTGGGGTGAGATGATATCTTCATAGTTGTTTTGATTTGCATCTTCCTTAGAGCTAACTTTTCTATAAATCTTTTTAGGATTCCTCTTTATATTAAACAATCTTATCACCTGCAAAGAATCTCTTTCTCCTTTTCCAATAATTATGCGTTAGTGGTTGGGTTTTTTTCACTCTGGTGTGTTGTGTTTGGGGGTTTTTTTGCACTCCTTTAATTTTTTTTTATTTTTCTACTAGTTTATTTACAAAATGAACCACCCAGCACCTTTAGTTCAAAGTAAAATTGTCATCATGTCTAAGTACCAAGTAATCTGTTGACTTATTTTTCAAATTAAAAAAATTTCCCTTTCAATCTCTGATTTAAGTTTTACTCAGGAATGTTATGTTTGTATTTATCATCCTCTTCCTGTCTATCTAGACAACTACCTGTCAGGCAATACTATTTGTCCTTGACCCCATTAATACACTGCACTGTCAACTAGGGAGCTCTGGAGTCGAGGTGAGAGAGCTGTGCTATGAACACAAAGGCATGTAGTCTGGAGACAGCAACTGTCCCAAGGGAGAAAGACGTCTGAAAACCTGCTGGAAGGTCAGTTACCAGAGTTCCAACTGAATGGCTTTGAGTTTGAATTGTTAAATGTTAAACCAATCCTAGAGTCTTAAACTCCTGGATTCTGTCAACATTTTGTTCAAAATTTAAAAAAAAAAATCCTTCATGAATGAATTCATCGACTGCAGTTTTTCTTTCTCTTATCTTCACCAGGACTTACCGTGCCGGTTTTTCTGGCCTCTTTCTTCTGCGTAAATGTAAAGACCGTGTCATTCTTCCCTTCATCATGCTGTATTCACCGTGTATCCACCTGAGTGTGGAGTCTCCTTTGTGGAAGGTTTAAAGGTGAGCTCCATTTCTTTAACTGACATGACACTTCAGAGTTTCTTTTCCTTCTGATGT